AACATATCTGTGAAATACAGACCATGGAGCTATTTATTTTTACCCTTATCAGGGCCACTGACCCTCACATCCTGAGCCTGGGTGTGGGGGACAATGGGCTCTTGCTCTTACTCTTATCAGTGCCTGCAAAAGACCCACTGACCCTCACAGCCTAAGCGTGGGACTGTGGCTCAAGTCATTTGTAGAAACTTCTTTTTACTTTAAATTCAAGTTGCTTTTGACTTACTCAACCCACTTCTAATATGTAGACCTTTTAACATTTTGGTTGCCTCTAACAATCATCAAGTTAGGACAAGGATGGTTTTTAATTTATGTTTTAAAATTCAGAAGCTTGTGCCCGGCGCGGTGGCGCAAATGGTTAAGGTCCTCGCCTTGCACACCCGGGATCCCATATGGGCGCCGATTCTAATCCTGGCAGCTCCACTTCCCTTCCAGCTCCCTGCCTGTGGCCCGGCAAAGCAGTCGAGGTCAGCCCAAAGCTTTGGGACCCTGCACCCGGGAGACCCGGAAGAGGCTCCTGGCTTCGGATCGGCATAGCATTGGCCATTGCGCTCACTTGGGGAATGAATCATCAGACAGAAGATCTTCCTCTCTGTCTCTCCTCTCTGTATATCTGCCTTTCCAATAAAAAAAATAATAAAAATAAATCTTTAAAAAAAACCCTTTGTTTAAAATAAAATAAAATAAAATTCAGAGGCTTTAATCTGCAAGTTTAAAAGGAGAGAAGTATTATGCTTTGTATGTTTATTTAGTATTTTCTGTGTTAGCAGACATTGGGTACCTGTGCCTCCAGGTTATGTACACAAAATCCTAAAATTTTTACTGTTCATGTTCAAGTGTTTGCTTCTGAAAATTTTCTGGTTTTTAGACTTACTGCTGTTTGTCTCCAGTGTTTTTGCTTGCCTTTTCTGCAGCAGTGTTTTCCTTTTCATTTTTTTAAAATAAAGATTTTAAATTTTTTTGAAAGGCACACTAGCCAAAGAAAAAGGGAGGGAGATCTTGTGTCCGCTCATTTGTGCCTCCATGGTAGCCCATAGTGGCTGAGGTTGTGCTGTGCCAAAGCCAGGAGCTTGTAACTTGTAAATGTTTTTTTTTCTTTTAGTACATTTGTTTTTACTTGAATGGCATGTTGAGAGAGAGGGAAGAGTGAGGGAGATAGAGTGGTTATCCATCCATTGGTTCTGTCCCCAAATGTCATAATTGCTGGGACTTAGTCATGCTGAAAGTTAGGAGCTTCTTCCGGATCTCCCACATGGGTGCAGGGATCCAAGGTTTTGGGCCTCTGCTCCTCTCCCAGGCCACAAGCAGGGAGCTGGATCAGAAGTGGAGCAGTTGGGAAACGCTGGTAGAAAACTGGCCAGCTACATCACCACACCATCCCCATTTGTCTGAGTTTTTAATTGAAGTTCAGGACTCGAGTACTTGGAGCATGTTTCACTGCTTTCCTAGGTTTGTTAGTCTGGAGCTGGATTGGGAGTGGAGCTGCCAGGACTTGAACGGGCAATGTGAAATAGAATACTGGTGTTGAGTAACCCCTTTAACTCTGTTCCACAATACTGTCTTAGCTTTTTCTTTTATAAAAAGGACTCATTGAGTGTACCCTAAAAGTAAGCTTAGCATCATACTACTTGGATATAAGCTTGTTTTTTATTTAAAGGCATAAGAAAGGAGTGGTACAATTTGTGTTTTTTAATTGACCTTGGCTCTGATTAGTATAGTAGTTGAAGAGTAGACCATGAACTTACAGCGTGTGTCTGTATGTGATGCAGCTTATTCACTGGGGCCGTTCAGTGTTCCTGGGGGTGGGGCTTTTCAGAGTCAGCTGTTTCCCACACTGATACTAGATATGAATATTTGTATGGTGTTGTTATATTTTCTTGCTTGTTCAAGCAGGAACTACTAGTAGTTTGTGTCCCAAACCCAGGATATTTTAGATTCTCTCATTTGCTCAAATAAAGACTGCAAAAATTATTTGTAAACAGTGTATCTTAGTTTTTGTGTGCTTTGCAAATATAATTCCACTGCTGTTTCTTCTCTTTCTAATTCAGTTACTTAGTTTTTGCTAGAATGCATCAAGTCGTGGTGAAATTGCAGTGCTTTCAACTCTCCCGAGAAACCAGGTTCTCTCCGGTCAGCACAGCCGGTCGGCTCGTTTGGTTGCTTTTGTGCTGAGAACTTTCATTTCTTGATGGGGTGTTTTTTTTCCTTGTATAATTCAAATATCTTTACAAATACAGAATCGTCAGCCTATTTTATATTCACTGCCGGGTTGTTATTCCTGTTGTTTAGCATGTGGCAGGTAAACTGCCTTTAAAAGGCTACTCACCTTTGTTTTTCACTGTTGGAATGGAGCATCTTGGGGGTAGGTTATATAAAGCCGTGTAACTATGATCTCTTTTCAGCACCCCTTTGACTTTATTTCAGCTGACAGTTTGATTTGCAGAGGCGGACTCAGTTTGGAAGAGCTACAGTCTACTGTTGTGTGTCTTAACTGTATGTCTGTATGTGTAACTCAGAATTCAAGCAAAGCCATATTGGACAGCTCAAGTTTTCAGTAAGTGAGAAGACAAAATTCGATAACATTCTTTTCTATTGCAGTTGATAGGTACTGCCTCACCTGAGTGTAGTGTGAGATGTGTGGTTGTAAGATGGGGGTTATAATGGCTCTTGTAATTAGGAAGGGGTAGGGACAGCAGTTGACATAGCCTTATGGCTAGAAGTGTTACCAGTTAGCTCTGATCAAGAAAAACCAAACCTTTCACTTGATATAATAGTACACCGAAGCCTCTCCCAGTGACAGAATAGGGTGTGTTCCTTAAAAGGAGTGGTTTGGATTAGGAAACAAAGATGTCTTAATTGGCAAACAGAAAATACCTTTGTCAGTGTTTGAAGGGCTGAAGTGCCGCATGTATTCACAAGTAGAAAAATTCAAAAGGGTCATAATTTATAATGGACAATATTTTATTTTTTTCATTTTATTAGGTGTGCTTATATTTTTTAAACCCCTGTTATCAAGATTTGTTCATATAGTAAAAGTGATTTCAGGAATTAGTTGGATAGTCTACTTGCTCATAGTGCTGCGTTCTATTGATGGTTGAGCTTCCTTTTAACTCTTGGGAAGGACTTTGATCAGGGTCCAGCCAGTCCCGTCGTCACATGTAGAAAGAAGGAGGCTGCTTTATGTGTTGCTCATTGTTCTCCCATCTCCTTTATTTTACCCTTTTCTGTCAGTACTCAACACCACACCTCCATGAGTATGTACTTATTAGAATTGAAGTAATATTAAGTTAACTTTTTTTAAGATTTACTTTTCTTAGAGTTACAGAGAAGGAGAGGGTGAGATCTGCTATTCACTGGGTCACTCCCCAGATGGCCCCCATTGCCAGGACTGCGTTGGCCTGAAGCTGGGAGCCAAGAGCTTCCTCTAGGTTTGCTGTGATGCAAGGGTCCAAGGCTTTGGGCCATCTGCTGCTACTGTCCAGGCTGTAGACAGGGAACTGGATCTGAAGGGCAGCAGCTGGGGTGCTACGTAGCACCCATACAGATGCAGGTGCTGCAGGGGAGGGTGAGCCCAGCACACCACTGTGCTGGGTCCAGGACTCTTGTTATTGTCTGGCTCATTTGTCTTTGTGTAGGAATTTGTCCTGGGAAGATGGTATTCGTTTAGTCCTGCTGGATGTTCTCCCTTACCATCTAATTAAAAATCTAGATTCTGTATACTTCATTTATGGAGTGCCTGCAATGGCTTAGAGATTGAGACTGAGTACCAAAACCAGTTGTAGCCTTCAAAGTGAAGTTAGAAGCAAATAATGGAAAATTAGCTCATTTTGGTATAAATGTTTTCTGTATCCTCTGATACTGATTCATTGATAATTTGCCTGAATATAATTTACTTGAAGAAACATGACCATGTCCAAAGAAGCCTGGTGAATTTTCACAGGTTGAACATTCACATCTTTGAGGCCTGGTCAAAGTGACTCAGTGTTAAATATACTCCTGGCAGACTAAATGAAGAGCTGTGAGAGTATCTGCTGTCCTCAGTTACACTCCACACTCCCCCCACCTTTTTAAGATTTATATGTTTTTATTGATAAGTGAGATTTACAGAGGAGCGACAGAGAGAAAGACCTTCCATCCACTGATTCGCTGACCAAGTAGGTGCAACGCCTTTTTCCGGTTCTCCCACGTGGGTCCAGGGTTCCAAGGCTTTGGGCCATCCTTGACTGCTTTCCCAGGCCACAAGCAGGGAGCTGGATGGGAAGTGAGGCTGCCGGGATTAGAACCGGTGCCCATATGGGATCCTGGTGTGCATGCAAGGCGAGGATTTTAACCACTAGGCTATTGGGCCTGGCCCAAGTGAAACTATTTTATTGAATACAGACAATGATGTGAGTGTTCTCAGTCTTTGGGAGCCATCTTTCCTGGGTGTCAGTGTGTCGCTTTGCTGCAGCAGGTAGGGAATTTGCTTGTGTGTGCTCAGGAAGGAGTTAGGTTGGTTAGTTTTTAATACATTTCATCTGCTTGTAATTACAATTTAACAAATCCTTTGATGTGATTTTTCCCTCAAATATCTTAGACATTTAATTATTTGAAATGTTTGTTTTTCTTATTTTCATCTTTCTTATCTGAGATTATACATTATTCATTTTGAGATTGTTTAAAGGTTAAAAAGGTTGGCGTCATGAGGTCAAAGGGTGACATCATAACACTGTTAATTTTTAGCAGTTGCGTCTTGAGCAGCCTTATGGAAGTGCTCAGTGATAAGAATGTGTTTATTTTACACTGAAAATTTGATCAATATAATGTCATGACTAATTACATAAAAAATAGAGGCTTTGGCTTTGGTTTCAAACTCCTGGGATCATATCGCGTTTTGTAGGGTGAATGGTTTAATGAGAGAGAAGAGATTTCTGGCAAACATGAGATGTTTCCTCACTGATTGGAATTTTTTTTTTTCTGTATAGGATGTTTGATGTAATAATTTTTTTATGTTTTCACAGGAGGGTGCATCTGCCCGGAAGACTCAGACTCCTGCAGCACAGCCCGTCCCCAGACCAGGTAAAAGACAGCACTGCCTTTTGCTGTTTGTAATTTCATTGGACATTACTGTGAATTTTGTCACAGGAACACTGTTTTGAAAACTTGGAAATTTTACATAAAATACTTTCAAAGATTGTTTTTCTTCTAGTTAAATGCTGCTGTTATTTAAGATGGTAAGGTTGTGATAATTGTCATAGAATGCTTTGTAAACTTCATTTAGCACCAGTAACATCTATTCTTAGAGAGAATGTACTTACGTGAAGGCGTGTTGAATTATTTTTCTGTCGTGCAGTTTAAACAGCTCTGCTGGACTTTGTGTACTTTATTGAAAATTTCCCCTCAATTTGATTGAAAAGTCACTTAAAATGGCTTATTTAGCGTCTATAATTGTCCCTATATAATACCAAATGGAAGTCATCACACACTATGCAGCTGTACACTTGAATGACTTCTCCAGTTATACCATATGGATATTTACTTGAAGAAGTAGGTATAATTGGAGAGTGAATGAAAGATTTTAAGAGTATTTTTTGCTTTAAGACTTTGGAAATATTGTTTATGTAGGTCAACAGTTCCATTGTAGTTCTGTGGTAGAATGTGTTGGTGTAATTTTCCCCCAGAAAAGCACAAAATCATAATTTTAATAGGTTGTTGTAGAGCTTTGATCTTTCACATGTCGCTTTGTTATTGAGCATGTAATATTCTTTAATCATTTGTTAGAAGTATTTGTTAAACAAAGGTGATGTTGAGTCATCGTGGAAAGCCCTTCCTTTCCCACTCCGTGCAGCGCCCGAGAGGCTGGGCGTTACAGATACACGTGCTGCTTAGCACGCTGTGCAGCTGAAAGTGCTTAGTAATTAGTATTGATTTTGTAATTTGGTATAGCTTTGGTGTTAGGTTATATTACTTTTTTACCTCTGTACTGCTATAAAATGTGGTGTAAAGAGTAATGGCACAGACTAGTTTAACTGGATGGTTTGGCTGATTGGTTTAGTAGTTTCAAAGAAACAGACTCGGCTCTCTTCATTCATATATATATATTACATACACACACATACTTCCTTTTTAAATTATTATTATTTTATGATATAGTTCCATAGGCCCTGGAATTCCCTTTATTCCTTCCTGCCTCACTGTGTTCCCCTATATTTATACTATAGTACAGTTCTTCATATACAGTCATATGTCAATCATTGTGGGCATGGACAATGGCAGAGTCCAGCGTCCTATTGTTGAGATATAGTTAACAGTTTCATTGGGAGGCCATTTTTGATCTGGAAGTGGAGATGCATACTACATTGTATCCTCACATCTGGACATGGTAGTCTCCATTATGCAGTTACTGTACATCCCCTTAAATGAAAAGCCACCATACAAAATCATCCCTAGGGAGAAAAATAGAAATTTACTACAGTGCCATAAAGTTAAATAACATGCTACTACATATGACAGTCTCCATTACACAGTTACTGTACATCCCCTTAAATGAAGAGTCACAAAACAAAATCAACAACAGAAAGAAAAAAAGAAATTTGCAGTGCGATGAAGTTAAATAACATGCTATTGAATGACTAATGTGTCGCTAAAGAAATGAAAAAGAAAATCAAGAGCCTTCTTGAAAAAATGATGCTATTGTATGATCTGTGAGCTAGTGAAGAATTTAATGAGAAAGTGTTTTAAAGAGATGAAGCAAAAAAAAAAGGCGTCAAAATCCATGAGATATAGTTTCCATTGATCTTTGTTGGTGAGATATGTCTGCTGTTGTTTTTGTTTTTTAATCTAGTCTACTAATCTGTGACATTTGATTGATGAGTTTAAGCCATTTACATTCAGGATTAATATGAGTAGGTGGTAATTTGATCCTGTCATTTTGGGAATGGGTTGTTCATTGATTTGGTTTTCTGTTGTCATTTTACTGGGATGTTCTTCACATTTGTCTTTGGTTTTGGTGGGTGTTATTCCTCTTCTCTGTCAAGAGAACAACTTGACGTATCATTTGTAGGGCAGGTTTGGAAGAGGCATATTCTTTAATTTTTCTTGAATTTTATTTCATTTTCAAAGACAAAGGAAAGCTTTGCTGGGTTTGTTATCCTAGGCCAACAGTTTTTGCTTTTAGAATCCGGAATATGTCACTCCATTCTCTTCTGGCCTGTAGAGCTTGCTGTGAGTTTAATTTGGCATTTCTTTATAGTGTCAATTGATTTTTTTCATGTGCACATTTTAGTATCTTTTCCTTATGTTTGATCAAAGAGAGCTTGATGATCATGTGTTGTGAAGGTCCCATGAGAATGACATGAAATGTGGAGCATCCCCAGCTGAGGATCCTGACCCCGTTGTGTGCTTGTGATGCTAAATGGTCTCTGTAACACACTTTCTCAAAGTGAGCAGATGAAGGAGTGAGGATGCCAAAATGGTACTTCCCGCTATACGAGCTTTTTTTTTTTTTAAAGATTTATTTATTTTTATTGGAAAGTCAGGTTTACAGAGTGAAGAAAGGAAGGAGAGAAAGATCTTCCATCCGCTTATCCACTTCTCAAGTAGCTGCAATGGCTAGAGCTGAGCTGATTTGAAGCCAGGAGCCAGGAGCTTCTTCCTGGTTTCCATACAGGTGCAAGGTCCAAGGCTTTGGGCCATTCATTGCTGCTTTCCCAGGCCATAAGCAGGGAGCTGGATGAGAAGCAGGGCAGCCGGGACACAAACCAGCGCCCATATGGAATCTTGGTTCATGCAAGGCGAGGCCTTTAGCCACTAGGCTACTGTGCTGGGCCCGTCTGTCGTTTGAGCTTATGGAGGGTTATATGTAAATTGACAATTGTACTTCTGAACTCTTTTTCAGTTGCTCTGTCGGGTATACTGGCAACATTAAAGTTGAATAAACTGTAAATTAGTGCTCTGTAATAGCTCAGCTATTCATTCCTTGTACGTTATTTCTTCATTTACTACTTCTTAGGAGTTGTAACTGTTTGCTGTCCAGCAGTGATGACTTGGTGCACAGAGCTGATAATCAAACATATGAGTTACTGCCTGACAGCCGGTAGCTGGAGTTTATTAACAGCGTCAGACTTACAGACAGGCTCACGTAGACTAGGCAGGAGAGTTTGAAACCGTAAGTGGTTTATGGTTTATGTGCAGTCAGCAAGCAGTGTGGTCTTCTCGCAGACTACTAGTGACTAACGGCCTAGGGAGAAGATGCAAGATCAGGGAGCTCCTGGCCGGTGCATTGCCATAGCAACTGCTTCAGGACCTTTCTCCGAATCCCTGCAGCTTTCTCACAGAAGAGTGGATTATGGTCTTAGGCTAGCAAGGAGTTCTGTCCTCCAAGTTTCTGTCTCTCCACACTTAATTCATTATTTTGTGTGGGTTATTTTTTTAAAGATGAATTTATTTCAAAGAGTTAGAGAAGGGGAGATAGAAAGTGGTAAGAGCGGGTGCAGTTGCTCATCTGTTGGTTCACTCCCCAGCTGGCTGCGCACAACCAGGGCGGGGTCATGCTGATTCCATGAGCCAGGAAGCTTGGGGTGTCCCTTGAGGATAGCAGATGTCCAAACATTTGGATCACCTTCTGCTGGTTGTCCCAGGCCCTTAGCAGTGAGCTGAATTGAAGTCAAGCTGCCAGGACACATACTGTTGTCCATGTGGGGTGCTTGGCACTACAAGCATTACTGCAATACCAGCTCCAGGTCCTGATTAGTTTTATGTATTTCTTTAGCTGCAAAAATATTAAATGTTTGGGACTGTAGTCCAGTTATGAAGTTATGTTATTTAATGTTTGATATGTTTACCTGTATTTTTTGAGATCTGGGAAAAACCCGCACATGCCTAGAACATCTTAGCAGTGCAATCTGTAGTTTATGAGATTATAGAATCACATTTACTTGTTAGGTAGCATTTGAATCTATAGGAAATGTGAAAATTACTTATTTTCTCTTTGAATTAGCTGACTCAATGATTATTATCTTTTTTTTTTTAAAAAAACATTTATTTATTTTTATTGAAAAGGTAGATATACAGAGAAGAGGAAAGACGGAGGAAGATCTTCCATTTGATCTGGGTCTCCCAGGCCACAGGCAGGGAGCTGGATGGGAAGTGGAGCTGCTGGGATTAGAACCGGTGCCCATATGGGACCCCGGCATGTTCAAGGCAAGGACTTTAGCCGCTACGCTATTGCACCGGGCCCTGTGTTTTCTTCTTTAAGACTTCTGATTTGGAAGGCTACGTGACATACAAAAAAAAAAAAAAAGATTTTCCATCTGCTGTTCCACTCCCCACAGGTGACTGCAACAGCTGGGACTGAGCCAGGCCAAAGGCAGGAGCATAGAATTCCGTCTGGGTTTCCATGGGACTGAGACTAGCATTGCGATTTACAGTGCTGCTGACGGAGGTGGCAGCTTAACTGTGTGCTCTAGTGCCAGCCCAGGATTACCTATTTTCTTTCATCAGATACTTCTTTAGTTCTATTGTACCAGATAAATTACTGGTATGTTTAACATTTACAATGTACACAGCTTAGACTTTTCAGTCTCGGACTGGTGTGCTATGGTGGACAGCATTGTTACTTGCAGTGCTGGCATCTCAGACAAGAGCTGCTTGTGGTCTGTGCTGTCCCACTTCTAATCCAGCTCTCTGCGGATGTGCCCGGGGAAGCAGTGGACGATAGTGCACTTGCTTGGGCCTGCCGCCAACTGAGATCCCTGGTGGAAGCTGCTGGCTCCCCCCCTCAGCCCAGCCTAGCCCTGGAAGTTGTGGCATTTGGGGTGGGGGGGAATAATCAACTCAGACAGAAGTCTGTCTCTGTCTCTGCCTCCCTTTGTGTAATTGTTTCAAAGAAAAAATAGCTTTTTAAATGTTTTCCTTCTGTTTTATGATACAGTTCCGTAGATTCTGTGATTTCCCTTTCTCCATTCTCAAATTCCCTCCCTCCAGCTGATTTCCCCCATATGATTCCAATAGTGTAGTCCTTCATAAGCAGTCATAGCCCGTCAGTTCTGCTATTTAAGTGTACGCTGACATTGCGGGTA